TGAGAGATGTTCCTACTCTGAACTCAAAGCATTTCTAGTGAGTCAGATTTGTGAAAGTAGTCACCCGCTGTGGGTCACCACAGTGACTTGGTGCTAAGGAATCTCTGATGGAGCTGTAGGAACTGGCCACCTTCACTTAGAAAGAGACCACAGAGCATGAGATTGAAGGGAAAAACTGGGTCACTCACCCCCTTTGGCCTCTCATGTGGTAAAACTACAGGAGTAAGAATTTTGGATCTGCTCTCCTGACCCAGGCTGTGCGGCAGGGAAGGGAGAGGCCATCAGCCACCCACCTCTGCTTCTGTACCAGGACTTCCAAGTTCTGCTCCTGAGGAAGTCTGGTCTTGCTTGCTGCCTTCCAGGAACCGAGGCAAATGGATCCAGGGAATGTCAGGCTTTAAAACTCTTTAAGGAATGGAAGCTGCTGTTGGTCTTTGAAGTTCAGGAGTATTTTTCTTACCATCTGAGCTTCCCTCTGACTGTTTGAATACCTGGGGTACTCTTGGGCAGGATGATTCCCTCCTTGTCAGAAATCTAAGCAGGGGAAGGCTTCAAGGGACATACCAAGTGCTGCTGTACAGAAGGACTTTGTTAGTTGCTGTTTAACACTTCGCTAGTCCCTGTGCAAACCTGTTCCTGCACCAAGACACAATTCCTTGGGCTGAGACCAGCTACTCAGTGACTAATGCTTGGTTATCAGCTATGCACACCTGCAGCCTGGCTGGCAAGCAGGCTTCATGGCCCAGCTTCTCTAGTTTGGGCTATTTCCTTGAGCACCGATTTGGGACATGATTTTCATGCACAAACCTCCCTATTACTGCTGATAAATACAATCACAGGGCACACACGCAAGCAAACTAGGATCGACGCGGATGATTTCTTAAAGAAGCAAATTTCCTGCATATTGCAAATGTTTAGTGGTCCCAAATCTTTTCGGATCTTTAGAGGAGACAGTTCAATCATGACAGCCTCGGCACTAACTTGAAACCCAAGAGCCAGTCTGATGTTGAACTTGGTCCAACAGCGTGCGCTAAGTATCTATTGGCTGGAAGTACATTTTAGATAAGGATTTGTTATTTATCAGTTGTAAAACTTAAAGGCTTGTCAGCAAGAGCAGAAAAGATTTGTAAGGCATATTATTTTTCTTGTTTAAGATTGCTCTAGAAAACATTATTTTGTCTAAATCAAGTATTCGGATTTAATTTTGTTGAGTGGTAGAGGTTTAATTTAGTACGTTACAAAGTACGTTCTCAGGACAGCCTTCCTGTGGTACTGTTGTGAAAGCTGTGCAGTCAGTCCAGGCATCAGAGGACACAAAGAAACAGAAATAAACGTATGTCTGCTGAGAAACAAAGCCACACTTTTATGAAGATGGGAACTTAAAGACGATGAGAACTTTGCTCTATGTAACTGAACGTGAACCTTTAAATCCTACACTAGACAAAAGCCATAAAGATGGGTTTATCTGGCTTCCTTTTATTCTTTATCGCACAAAAACGAGTGAAAACCTCTGAGCACCAGTTTTCTTATTATAATAAGAGAATCCCCATTCTTATGTAAAATGTTTAAAAACTCATTTATGGCCAAGTACAAAACACCTGCCTCTCTATTGTGGAATTGAAGGCAGATTATTCCAAGTTTTATACTGATTACTCTTTAACAGATTTTATTTTTCAAGCATCAGAAGTACTAGCAATGCATAAGTTACGTATGTATAAAAATTATGCCTGTATTTCCCTGAATTTGTTGTAAAGGCTGACAGTTCCAACTTCATGCTATTGCAAGTGAGACTGCTGTAATGACCCCTGGCCTTAGGGGACACTGTTTTACAGAAAGATCTCCATTGCTGAGCAACTGAACGGTACCATGTGTGCTCTCGGGACTTTGGGGAGGGAGTAGCGGGGGGGCAGGCAGAGAAATTCTGCATGTAGCCTTGCCTGGGACAAGCTCTGAAAAGAAACCAGGAGGCCACCAGTTGACCTTGCCTATAGCTCGTATGCTGCATTTTGGCTCGCCACTTATGCCCAGCATAATTTGCTGCATGAATATATTGATTTTCTTTGACTACACTGATAGTCAACATACAGAAGCAACTCAAATGTCCCCTTAAAGAAAAGAGAAGAAAGAAATTCTATGTAACTCTGTCTGTAGAAAGACAACTGAAAACCCTGCTCTGAGCATGAATTTCCAAAAACTCCTGCTAACCTAAATTATTCTAGGACAAATCCTTGAATAACGTGACATTTGAACTGATTAAAAACCAACCAAAAAAGGAAAAAAAAATACTCTACAAAAAAACCCCAACAATTATCCACTTCACAAAAATCAAAGCTTTTGGAAACAATTCTGAACGTTTGCAAGATTTGTCAAGTCCAGATTTCAAATCATTGTTAGAGGCACGCCACCAGGTACCAGAGCTCATTTCTAAAAGATAGTTTCTTTTTTAGGTAGCACTTAAAAACTTCTAACAAATACATTTTAAAACTGGTTTAAACCAAAATACCATAACTTTGGCATGAGGGAAGTATTTGACCAGAGCACTAAAAAGAAACTGCACTACAATCAGTATATCCATCTTGTGAAATTATTTCAGTTTTAAAACTCAAAACCCTGATGGATGTGGAATCAAATGCTTTTAAAATCTCCCAGTCTCCCTTGCCGAAAGCCTTTCAAATCCTTCAAGTCAAAGCACCGCAGGCTTCTTTAGGAAGAGCTGCATACACTGCTTTGTGAAGAGAGTCTGATTTCCCCTGGTACGGAGGAAAAATAAGTGTAACGCCAGTTAAACGCTCGGTAAGAGACCCCCAGTCACTGTTTAGCCACGCGCAGCCATGCCCTATCCATTTTAGGAGAGCAAGTAATCCTTAACTAACGTCAACAGTATCCAGCCCTTCTACGATGCATCAAGGGATCTCAAAGCAATCTGCAGAAGAGAAATGGGGAATCGAGGTACAGGGAAACAAAGCGAACTGTTCACTGTCACTCCGCAGGACAACCCCCTGCTTCCCACACAACTTCACAAGAGGAAGCACTGCAACCTCACCTAGAAAAAAAAACCCAAACCTATCTCAAGCTATGTAACTGCCTGCGTTACAACTTCTTTGCTCAATACAATATTTCTATCAACATCCAAAACCATGCACAGATATAGCGAGTAGTTTTCTGTGAAAGAAAATAAAATAAAAAATAAAAAAAGACTGCCACATGACACCTAGAAGCGTTTATTTTATGCAACAAACTTAAATATGATCATGTGTACATAAAAGTGTACACTGTATCTATGCTGAACAATGCCAGGAAACATAATATTGATGCAACAATCTTCTAAAATAAACATTAAAAAATGAGCCTGGACAGGAAGACAAAATGCAAAACAGACTTACTTCCAATCAGCACAATGCTTAAAATTGAGAGCAATCCTAAACATTTCCAACTTTCCTTACAAAGCTGCCAAAGTCCAACTATTTTTAAAAATTGATTTTTTTTTTTCTTTACATCAATAATAAAAATCTGGTGACAAACATTATAAAATCAAATGCTGGACTGTCTTTACTCCTTTAAAATTTAGAATATTCCAACAGAACCACAGGAGTAAAAACACTTAAAAGTGATATATGTTTTTATAAAACAAACATCAATATGTACATTTATTGCAAATTATATTAAACTAAAATGGAGGGAAAATTAAAAAATGAAATGTCTACTTGCGAATTAATAATTTTAAGTGATTACTTTCCCACTCTGATAAAAATCAGAAAGCAACATTTATAAAATTGCCACCACATGACTTTTCATAGCAGGGAACTGAATTCTGTACATCTTATTTTTGCAGAAAAGTAGGCAGGCAGAAAGAATTATACATAAAACAGTCTCCAAAAGTAAAGCAAAAAAATTTTTTTGTAATTTTTTTTTTTTTCCTCTAGTCTTGTTTAAAATCCGTTCAGTAGACTTCTACTTTTTCTGGGAAACACGGGAATACCTGGCTCTAGGATCACGAATTTTCAATGTCAGTGTAAGGACCTCCTCTGACTTTCTTTAAAAAAAAAAATGCAGCATGAAAATTAATGGTGTAAATACACTTTTAAACTCCAGAATGCAGGAACTGGAACCAAGTGTTAAGCAATTTGCTTAATTATTGACTTTTCATAAAAAAAGTCTCTGGGGAAATAAGTACAGATGCTTTTAGCCTCTTTCTCAAGAGTTTCTGCTTTACATTTCCATTGAGAAGGATTAATTTCATGTGAAAGGGAAGCATAGTTTTCCTTCTGGTTTCAGAGCTGAAAGCTGTGTGTTTTGAAGTAATTTCAGTTCCTGTACAGGAAATTTCTGAATCCTAGTTTTTTGCAGAAGCTTGGAGCATGCCTTTATTTGGCCTTCATTTCCTCCCTTTTCGAGCAAGTTTTCTTTTTACCTTTTTGGGAGGAGAAAAGGAAATAAAAGTTAATTATAAGCACATGGAAATTACAATTGACTCTGAATCAAAATCCTACCTACATGGTTTACATTTTAGCTTTTACACTCTTTAGACTGCGATTCTTCCAACTCTGTCTTCCATCTTTTCAACGACTATATAATTAATTGAATATAACTGAATTTCCTTATTGTATAACACAACTTCCTGATATGTATATTCATCTTGGAAATACACAACTTGAATAATAATAATTCTGTAACTGAGTAATGTTTGTTCAGCATAAACAGAAATACATTTAGCCATAGATTTCACTGGATTCAGCAAATAAGAATGGTAACTTGTTCTCATTTCCTGTATTTAATTACCCAGGTTTATAAAAATAGCCTGTTTTACTTAAGAACAAGCACTACTTCAAACGTTTTTCAAATATTTACAGTAACTTGTACATGTCTACTTAAAACCAAAAAAAAGCTATCAGACAGCTATTTTTACATACATTTTTCTAGACGACAGACAAATTTCTTTGATTCCTTACTGTATAAACTACAATAAAAAAACCACAGAATTGTCCTATATAAGATGACTGCTACACCTTCAGGAAGCCTCCCTCTGCTATCTCTGTATCCTCAGTATCTTCCTGGCTGCTCCCACAGGCCTTAAAAAGATCCACTGCATTTTGGGAGTATTCTGAACTTGAGTCTATCTCCAACACTGAATCTCCATCACTTCCAAGCACCTGGCTTCTGAAAAACGTTAACAATGTTTTGGTATTTTTTACAAGAAACACTGAGGTATTACATATTTTAAAGAAGCTATCAGATACAGGTGGCTTATTAAAGGCTATGGATAGTCCAATTTGTTATGAAGACTTCAGGAAATTTGATGTATAAAACAAGCATTGCAAGGGAGTACACAAACACTACTCTCTTGAAAGACTGAACAATTTACTAGTGTATGAACCTTGCCGTGAGAGGAAAAGGTAATTTTTTTTTATCAGGTTCTCTGCAAGATCTTCAATTTACAAACCCTCTAAGAAAGAAACCATTCCAACAATTCTTTCTGCCTTTAGATTAACTTGTGATTTCTTCCAGCACACTGGTTTGCTGACCTTATCTTACTGCTCTGCAGTTCTGGACACTTGTGCATTAAAATCATTATTGTATCAGATTCAGCTAAACAAACTTCTCAGTGTTTATGCACATTTGTGGTTTGTTTATATTGGAAATCAAATCAACACATTTAAACGCCAGAGTATCGAAAAATAAATTATCATCCAAGAGCTGCTTTGTAGTCGACAGTTCCAAATTCTGCTTTTGATGTACTTAAAATATGTATTACATTATTGTAAATATTAAACAAGCACAGATCCAAAATATCAGAAAATAATTACAGTTAGAATTACAATTTGTTCTCTTCATTAAAGACGGTCAGTTTTCAAGCCTTTGTTACCAAAGAACTGAAGCAGAGCAGAGCACTTGAAATTCCTGTGTACCTGGCATTAAACAATGCACTGAAACACCCTCAACTTTTAGCTCCTTTACACAGCAATGCTAGTAAGGGGAACCAGACAAAAAAGAAAAGTTGGTGAAAACAGGTTAGATTATCCTGTTCTGACCAAAGAAATTCGTTTCTCCGATTCCAGCTGCCCTGGTACTTTGAAAAACAGAACACGACACAATGTATGTCGGACCATGGTGTTTATAAATCATTGTGGTTTAGTGGTGCCCTTTGAATATGCTAGATCTGCTGCAATTGTCAATTTGAGGTCTATCTTCAGACAGGAAAGGCCCACCCCACCCATGTATTATTTATTTATTTTTACCTTTGTAGATCAATTTGTCTCTGTGCTGCTGCTGGCTTTTTTGCTGTGTCTTGCTGTTTTGGTGCTTTGGCATTACCTGCCTCTAAACTCCCTGGACTTTCTTGACTGACTGCTGCCCTTTTCCTTCCCCTGACAGGTGGTTTATTTGTTTCCTCATTTTTTGCAGTGGTGCCCTGAGGTTCAGGTTTGGTTGGACGCCCTCTCCTGGTTTTTGCTGCGAGTGATGGTCCTGTTTCATCTACGCTTTTTTCTTCAGGTTTTTGATGAATATTCTCAGTTCCAGATGCTGTTGCTGTTCTTTTTTTCCCACGTTCAGTGCTGTTTCCTTGTGTAGCCTGATCAGAATTAATCTCCTAGAAAATACAAATCAGGAACATGAAGGAAAAAAAAGAGTCCCAAAGGCAAACTCAAATTGTTGCCTCTCTCCGACAGATATACGAGTTTATAAAACAAAGTATTGTAAAAACACATCGTGGGCTTAGACCTAGTAAAAAGTTTTACTAAATGGGATTTTCGACATTAGCCTTGCAATAATATTTTCTCCACTGTGCGTAATGTTAATATCTGCATGCAATGTATCTTTCAATTGCTTGAAAGTGAGATTACATTAAAACTAATAAACTGTCTTCCCATGACGGTTCTTCCGGACAAGCTCCTTTTACTGCCTCTTTGCCAACTGACAGGAGAGAACTAAGGAGCAAAAGTAATAATTCCGGTACCGCAAATGATACTTACTTCCACATATGCAAATTTTAAGACCAATTTTTAGTGAAGGTGCAGATCACTAAAGCCCTAAATACAATAAAAAAAAAAACCAAACAAACAGGCTTGCAGGGAATAAAAGGGAGTAAGACGTAGTGACAAATGAAGCTTGCTGTCTTCGTTAATTCTTTGTCACGTCTCAATAGGTATGGCCTACATGCCCATTTTTCTCATTACACTGAACAAGGTAATGAGTGATTAAATTGCATGCAGCAGTGTCTGTACATGAGAAACAGAAAGGGTGGTGGCAATGTAGGTCTCTACACAGAAAAGTATTCATATGGAAACAAAGAGGAAGCAACTAGATGATGGATCTTCATTTGAACGCTGCCTTCTGAAACGGTCAGAAGGAGAGGCAGAGAAAAGGGTACTGAAGAAGTGTGGCTGGCATGGCAGCAATTTCAAACACACCAATTAAGGCCACTCGTGATTTTAAGTGCTGTGTCTGAACCAAGGGCTTTTTTGCTAAATATTCTACCAGTATTTCTTAAACATTTAAATAAGTCAGGCAGTCTCTGTAATCTCTATTACTGTTCTAGCAGCTTCATGGCAGGCATTTACAACTTCTATTCATAAGAACTTTACAGATAACAACTCTCTGAAAATTTCAACTAAAGTCAAGTTTCAAGAACCCAGAAAGCATTTTTGAAGATTTATTTCAAAAACGCTTTGCCTAACTTCTCTAACTTTTCAGAAAACCCCTATTTAGGGGAAAAAGAAGAAAAAAAAAGAACCATACATTGAAAATTTGGGACAGATTTTTCTCTTCTTCACTAGCTCATGGGTGTGAATACCATGTGGATGTTATTTTAAAAGATTAAGAAAAAACTAACTTATGTGATGATACAAATCCAAAACACCTGCTTATTACTCTGATTTCATCTAATCAAAAAAGACTGAGTAGATATGTAACTTCTTAAAATGTGTACAGCACGAAACATCTATGTATCCCTACATTATTACAAAAATCTATTTTGATTTTTGAGTTACAGAATCCTCTAGGTTGGAAGTGACCTCTGGAAATCATCCAGTCAAACCTTCTGTTGAAAGCAGGGCCTCAGGAGTTATCCTGGGCCCCTGACAAGCCAAGCTGTGAATAGCGACATTCCACCATTTTTCTGGGCAACCTATTCCAGTGTTTAAATTTCCTCATAATGTAGATTTTTTTTTTCCTTGCATCCAGATGGAATTTCCCCTGAAGCAACTTCTGCCTGTAGCCTTTTGTCCTGTCACCATGCAGCCTTGAGAAGAGAGTACTTCCGCGTCTTCTCCATAAATACCTTTTAGATACTGAGAGACTGATTAGATCTACCTGCCAAGGCTTCTCTTCTCTAGATTGAACAAACCCAACACTTTCAACCTTTCTTTAAAACAACAGCTCCTCCAAGCCATCATCTTGGTGACCCTCTGCAAAGCTCTCTCCAGTTCTTCAGTATCTGCGTTGAACTGGGGAGGACACAGTATTCTGGACACAGTATTCCAAGTGTGGCCTAATGAATGCCAAATAGAGTGGAATAATCACATCCCTCAATCTGCTGGCTATACTTCTGCTGATGCAGCCCAGGACCCAGCTTGCCCTTGCTGCTGCCAAGGCACACTGCTGACTAGTGCTCTGCTGGTTGTCCACTAGGATGGTCCCTCAGTCCTTCTCAGTCAACCCACACCCCAGCCAGGCAGATCTCAGCATGTTGTACCGCTGCTTGAGTTTAATCTGTTCCAGGTGCAGGATTTCACATATACCTTTGTTAAACTTCATGCAACTGCATGTTTTAGAAGTTAAAGACTCATTATGATTTAGGCGTGATGATCTCTCTCTAACAGAAGCAGGGGAAAGTGTTAAAAATCCTCAAAGTTGAAATAATATTTTACTTGTGACACAATCCAAAAGTTAGGTGTTTATTTCATGCTAGAGGACCACTTGAAATTTTCCTGGCAATATCTTCAGTTAAAGCTACAGGTGTCAAACTTCACTCTGAATTGCAGCCTTACCGTTATTTATACTGGAAAACGTAAAATAAAGGTGGTAATCTTTTGGAATTTTAGAAAAAAGCAGGAAGTCCCTTCCGATTTGCCTGTGCTGTTTTTGAGCACATGAGCTCTATTAATTACTCTGGATAAAAGAAATAGTAGTTTTGAAAATAAGGGGTCTTCTATTGGGTTAGGAAAGTGATATAACCACATGAGATGAAATCGGACATTACCAGTTCCTCAGCGACCACCTGCAGTAATGTGTACTGAATAACTCCCCAGTGCCAACCTTATTATAGAGATACAGTCCATAAAATCCCCAGGCATACCTTGTTTTTCACAGGTTCTGTCTTTGCTGGTGTGACTGAAATAATCCTCACAGGATTTTCATCATTTTCACTGACCCCAGTTTCTGATATATCTGAACTTTGTTCCCTGGTAGCATAATTGAAGACAAAATAAAAACAAAATATACAAAACAAAAGAAGAAAAATGTTTGCAATTATTTAAACAAAATAAAAAAAAAATGCAGACAGGCTAAATTAGTTTAAAAAAAAAGAGTTGGATTTGCCCGAGTCCACGCTTACATTTTGTTTCCCAGAACTGGGAAAGGTCAGAAAGGGATTGGCTAATCACTGAGCCAAATCCCTTATCAGACACAATGCCATATAATCATTTTCGCAACCTTAAGACCAATGCTCTAAATGAGGCTGTGTTCTTTTTCCAGATAGAAAAAGCTGATATTGGCAAAGGTATTGAAGAAAAATAAAGACCAGCAATCTCAAACTTCAAGTTAATTTACACAAACATAAAAAAACCAAAACCATTAAAAAATAAAAAATCAAGATTATTACAGCATGTGTCATGCACACTTACAGAACAAATTTTGAACTGAGTTATACTTCCTTTTGGCCTTATGAAATGTAGCAACTAGAGTTGACTTTTTCTCCTTTATTTAACTCTTTATCTTAGCCAGTTAATCAATTCCAAAACAAATTAAATAATCTTCAAATTTGAAAGTGTAAACTGTTTCTCTACATTTATGACAAATTTAAAAACTCTAGATCTGCATAAAAATAACACTTACTAGAAGAAAGACCGAATATTACAATCGTATGTTGCATCTTTCCACTGAGGTCCTGGTCCTCTTCAGCAAGCTCTTTTTAATTGTTCTTAATCTTAAATAGGTCAAAATATTTAATCTACATAAAAAATGCTTCTTGGTACCAATCATGATTAATCCTAACTTATATATCAAAAATGTGTGAGTTGCAAAATCTGTTTGGTATTAATCATGGCTTGTCTCTTCAAATTAATGTATTTTTTTATTTAGAAATATTATTAATATTAACCATCAAGATTTCAGACAGTATAGTGTCTCTTCTGTTGTATTAAATGTTATTACAGGCAGACCACACCTAAACACTGTACTGAATTTTTGTCTACTAAAAAAAACCCAAACCAAAAAGCAAAATACGGAGATTTTACCTATAGGGAACTATTGCATTTTTTCAAACTGGTTAAAATAAAGACACTCTTCAGACACATAGGCGCACATACAGCAAATCATCTCCTGTTCCAAAACATGTGAGCGCACTAGACAACATAAAGTAAAAACAGCTGATGAAAGAAATTTCAAACGCCTGTACCTTGATCTGTTTCCTGTAGAAGAGCTCAGCTCAGAGTTTACACTGATATTGCTTCCAGTCTCTGATCCTGTAGTTCTAATATACGGTCTCCTTCCAGTTGCAGATAATGGTTTGTTTACTGTACCTAATACAGCAGTTGGTTTTGGCTAAAAGAAAATTTTCAATCTTAAAAATGGGTAATTCAGATACAGATTTAATTTTTAAAATATTTAATTGAGTATTTTAAAATACTTTTTCTGGATTAACAGTCTCAATCACAATGCCATCAGAAAATACTTTTTCTGGATTAACAGTCTCAATCACAATGCCATCAGTTTAGAGCTACAGACCTCATCTTCACTTAAAAAACACTCGTCTATCCTACTTTTATTTCTCATCATTAAACAGCACTTCATCAATTGCCTTGGTTTCTTTCATGCTTTGAAGCGATAGCAGGTAGAGAAGTCTCAACAAACCCCAGAATGTTAGATAATATTAGAGGACTGAAAAGGTGTGCCAACATCCTATATTTGCAAAGCACAGCACCTCTGTGAAAGGCTTTCCAAAACGTAATGCAGACTTAGGTTCACTACAACAGTAGAAAACGCATACACTTACTATACAGGAAACCAGTGTAAAAATATTTAACACCATCTATCTATTGTGGGGTTCTTCAACACAGTGATGGTATTTTAAATTTCGCTACCGCTGGTGTTTGTTGACTGATTATTCAGGCTGGGTAGGCAGTAGGAAGTTTTTTATTTTGTCTCTGGAGAAAAGTCAAGGAAGTTTTCATAACTGGCATAACACATTCTTCACGTAACTTTACATTTCCTCAGAGACCAAGTTAATTTATTACACCATTCTCACAAGAAAAATTAATTCCCATATGTTGAAGTTATGAGGGAGCAGGCAGGAGAGAGATACCACAGATGCTGGAAAATGTTTGGCCAGCAAAAAAGGCCACAATCTCTGTAGAAATAGCCTGTTACTGAGCATGTGTGCAGTAGCTGCATCGTCCTAGTGCTAATATTGCACAACATTTACTTAAATACATTATTCTTGTAACATTTTATTTGCTCTATTTACTTAGCATTCTATAAAAAGTAGGATGCATTTGGTGCAGCTAATAGGAGAGAGAAAACGTGTAAGGGAGAAAAGAAAGCGCTTCTGCACAACAAGCAGGTTGCAAATTTCTGGCACCTACTGCCACAAGAGATGGTGAAGGCAGATCACTGGGAGGGTTCAAACCGGAGCAGACAGATTTGTGAACAAGTCCATAAGCAGACATCAAAAGCAAGAGGCACAGATGCAGAGTCTAGCATCCCATTATAAAAATTAGAATGCTGGGGGAGTACAAGGGGGAACGTACTGCAGAAAGTGGCTAGACTTGCATGCTCTCCTTAATCATGTTGTTTTGGTCTCTCTGGAAGAACAATATCAGGCCAAAAAGAACCATTGGTCTGAGTCAGTGGGATATCCTTATACATCTGTGTTTTCCAAAATGGAAGTAGACAGAAAAAGCAGCAAGTGTTTGTGCATTCTATTAGAGCACAGAGTAAATGTCCATTTTCCTATGAACGCTGAAAATTACCTAGATAATACTAGCTTGACACTGGACATCCCCCCCTCTTCTACTTTCACAGAATGCAAAAGAAAAGGCTGTCTTAAATAAGCAAGATTTTTTTAGTTAAGACATAGCTTTTCTCTAAATTGCCGAATGCCTCATCAAAAGAGAAATATAGTAAGTTTATACAGCCAACTAAACTTGCTTCAAGATTACTAATACTTCATTGATTTTATTTGTTTTGCCTTTGATAATATTCAATTACAGCAGCAGACAGATACACTCTTCTGAGGATACTTAAAGCACTAGTGTAGTACTGGCTGCTGCTAAAGAAGGGGCTCTTCTGTCTGCCTCCTCCCTTCCTAACATAACGCCAACTCAGCTCACCGAGTAGCAACCAGGCTGGTGTCAGAGTGAACATGAAGCAAGGAGAGGCAGCGTTCTGCCAGCTGAGCAAATCTCGCTCAAGTGAACTGCTCTGACAGTGGAAACTTTTTGCATAAACGAAAAATCAGGGTGAGAAGCAGCAATTTTAAATGATAATGGCTACTTACAGAGGGATCCTTTGTCTCTACCTTTACAATGAACAATTACCACAAAGTTCTGCTCTAACTGAAGACTTTAGAAACTAATCCAGTAACAGTTTGTGGAATACAGAACATTAAAATTAATAAATGCACATGAAATTTACATTAAAACCATGATTTATACTGTTCTCATGATCTTTATATTTTATAGGTCAGCCAGCATTCTTTCACTAAGCTCAAGAAAAAAAAAACAACCTGCTAATTTTTTGAGCTGGACTAACATCCAACAAAATTTAACCAGAACCAAAGAAAGATAGTTTTAGAATCCCAAGAAAGGACAGCTGGTGGTGAAAAAAGTATAACAATAGAGGGTTTGTTTGTTTGCTTTTGTTTGGTTGGTTTTTTTCCATCCCTCCCATCCCAACTTGGTATTTTCTGTTTCCTGCAAAGATATTAGCTAAATTATGTCTGAAATAAAAGGAGACATTGAAAAGGTTTCAGCCATTTGAATTTAAATTTAACAGCATTAGCGGCTATATTAAAAATATTAAGATTGATAATTTAAGACCTCCAATGCTAGTACTGTCACAATTAAGTATATGCATCATAACTTTATGCCACGCTTATGTGAATAAAGGAAAAACCTGTAGTCATGTGAATAACTATAGCTTATCAAGAACCAACGCCTCAGCGTGCAGGTAACAATCCTGGTGTTGTGTACTCACCAGGTAGTACGTGAAAAGTGTTAATTATGCCATCAAATAAAAGAATCACAAATTATCGTACGCAAACTCTTAACACAATTTTTAAACTACAACAGTCCAGGACATTAAAAAAAAAAAACAACAAACCACAAGTAACAATTCTTTGAATCTAACTTGTCAAAATACAGTACCTTTCCTGTCAAAAGAAGAACCCTTGTCTCTTCTGAAATGTAATTCCTGTCATTGCAGAAATCCTGTATAAAAAATAAAATAAAATAAAAATCAGTTTGCGTTTGCTCTCTCAATCTTGCTGTTGTTTTTTCATATATACACAAGTGACTTCTCAAATTAAATGATACTATCAAGTGCTACAGCTATTTCACACCATGCAACCTGGTGACAAATCAGTCTAACAGATAGGTCAGACTAGTATTTTGAAGGAGATTTGTAGTGAGCGTTACTGAATGACAGTATGACATACTTGAAGTTTGGATTAACATTTTGTCTTCCTGAATGAAATGCATCATTTCAACTGAAGCAACACCGTCCTCCCTGTTTTTCCACTTGCATCTTTTTAATGGGAAGTCCAAAGAGAGGAAAAGAGGTGCTGTTTTCTTTAAAGAAGTTGAAAGTTGCTACCTTTGTCACTCCTGAGTACAGTTTACAGAGACCGAAACGCTGAATGTGAATACAGGCAGCTGTCACAGACACCGGCTCCCCATCACCACGGCATCTGCCATTTCACAGTTAAATAAGCAAACTAAATTTTGCTTAAACAGACTCCGGAAAGGCTGTTAATTAACAGTCTAAGACACTGAAAAAACGTGAAATGTATTCTTCAGTACAGGTCTGGTCCAGAGAATGACTTGGGTTCCAGTTACACTTTTTAGAAGTATGCCTCAAAGAACGGCAGCGCTATTGCTGACAGTAGAGCTGTACTCACCATGACTATTACCAGGCAATACAAGGACCAACTTGCACAGCAATAAAATAGCCAAACAGCTACTGAGAGATATAAACATACCATGGCATGGATAACAAAAAAATTTCCCCTTCTTTTTTGTCTGCTTTGCATTCTAATTGAGATATGCAGTCAGAATATACATATATTCTCATATATTCAGATTCACTTGTAAAACACTTCAGTGCAATGATCTAGCTATACACGCTACCGTATAAATATTTCTTCTAATCAGCTTTTACCTAGTTACAAACACTCTAGCACAAGTTCATAAGACATAGATAGCAAAGCATACAGCTGATGTTTAAAAATTTAATTGTTGAGAATAAAATACATGCGTTTTCCCACTCATGATATTATGTTATGAAGAAAAACAGCTCTCAATTATTAAAAAAACCAAAGTATTTCCCCTTATTACTTTGGAAATTAAATTATCAAAATTTACCTTTTCAGGTTGCGTAAAAAATTTGGTTGGCAATACAGGGTCCTTCGGTGAATCTGCATTGCACATAGCACTTTTGCTGTTGATCACACATAGTGCTATGTCACATACTGTATAAAGTTTCTGAAGAAAAAAAAAAAGAAAAGTATGCTTTAGGAATTACTACTATTTTTACAGTGTACAGAGAACATAGTTCTTTGAAAAGTTTAATCTATGTTTTAAGATAACCACCACTAAGGATATATTTCGTAATTACATTGTTCACCATACTGTTGGCTCTTCAAACAAATACAGAAGTCTCCGTTTTTCATACGATACTATTTAATAAAAATTACTTACTTTACATGCCTATGCTGTACAATAGAAGCTCTTGCTCAATCAAATCACCATGAATGGTTTCTCATCTCTGCTAGAAACTAATAGGTTTAACAGTAGCCATATAATACAGCATTTCGCCCAAAAGCAGAAGGTACTTATGTCAGGAAACTACACAGAAGGAGTTAAAATAAGGCAGGCAGGCAGTAAGAGGAGTATTTAACAAATTTTGTTCATTAACTTCATTAGGTATTGTGTGCTGGATAAGGTCAGCAAGGCTCTGAAAGAACCAGACGGGCAACATACAGACAATGCTTGCAATTAGCACTCTCTCTAAAAGACCATAAAAACGTCTGAGCTAGTGCTTTCAGATTTCCTGCAAATCCTGTTCATCAGCTGCTTGTGAAACCTTCAGCCATCACCTAACACTTATCTGAATTGCATTTCTTACTTCATTGGCCTTTGGCTCATCAGGAGACTGAGCATCTCGAGTAAGCTTGATGTTTTCTGCCATCTTTTTCATGAAGGCATGGCTATTGTTCTCATTCTTTGTCATTAAAACTTCAAGCATGAACCACAGGCACCTAAAAAGCCATAAAACCACAAGCAATTACATTCCAGCTCTTACACTGTAGCTCTCACATACAGCAATGTCTTAAAAATTGTCAGCTGTATTAGTTTTTTCTTAAGAAACCACAATCAATTTGATGGTATCATAAACAGGTAACATCATCCGAAGGTGTTAATAGAGTCTAGACCTTCAACACACAGAGTCTTAATCATACTTTTTGGAATAAATCTGCCAAATTAGTTTGCTTCTCTATTATACTTGTAAACACTGGCCAACCAATCAGCTTTTTTCTCTTCCAGGTATGAACAGAAGCAAGAATTCTGGTGCTACCATCATCTAGATGAAATTCTGTAATCACTACCTTGGGCTATGTCTATATTCCTATCAATGTACCATGACCACACTCAAAATAGGCTTGAACAAATCATACCACTGCTAGACAGTTGCCCACACTATGTGGTTTAATAGTGGAACTCACACAGGAGAGGAGATCCAAAACTGAACAGGTCAGATACTTGCTAACGCTCCATATGGGAAGAAAATAAATCCTTACAGACCAGCTTTCCAAGTTTTCTTTCTTTAAATCTAGCTTACTTATATGGAGAATTATATTCTTTATATATAATATTTTGACTAAAAGTTTGTTTTAAGAATTTTCCAATTATGATATAAACCACAATTAGAGAAATGCAAACTCTGCCAGTAGCTAATTTAAATCTCAGACTCTGGAAGAGAGATTACCTTGTAGAAAGACGCTAGTAAAAAAACCTAGAAAAACAGGATGACTGAACATTAGCATTCCCTGTCCACAAAAGCCCCAATCTTCTTAACTGATACAAATTGAAGATTGTAATGCAAGAGATGACAGAACATTCCTCTCAACAATTCAAAGTAAGAGAGGGCTGTGTTCCATCAAAACACTTAAAATAGTTATCTGGTGTTCAAATAAAATATGTCCGTATTCTGACTTGCATCCAAGAGCTACAAAGGCTATCAGTAAATAGATGTGTCAGATACCTTTACATGCATCTATTAACCATTCTCAAGAACTTGAATGGGATGAATACAGGACCAATAGCATACCACACTGACCCAGCTTCTCCAAAACCCTGTGTCATCCAAAGATTACTGCCGAGATAAATTTTACTCCGGTAATTCCAGTTAACACATGTCAACTTCAATAGCCTGATTTCCTCACTAAGTCGACAAATCAAATAAATCATTATCAACCCTGGACAAGACCTTTCCAGAACGACAGTGGGATTTCATGTAGAAAAATATGCACCTAGAAGAACACAGCCACATAAAGTAAGCTCATTCTCTGTATCCGTTTCAGTATTTTTGGAACATGAATTCAGAAGAAAAAGACACCGTCTCAAGATAAAAAACAAACTCAAACCAGAATATACCTCTGTAGGCCAAGCTTAAAAAACTTCATAAGAATAAGTATCACAGATTCAGATCAAGGAACTTGCTAAGCATATATTTACTTTACGTGACTGTATTCAGGCCATGTAAAACCAAGATGAACTAGGGGAGACAACTACAAAACACACTGCCAGTCTGCTTTTCCAAGTTTGCAAGCATCTATGTTAATAGACCAGAATTCCTGCCAAAATTCCTGTACAGAGTATTTCTTTGTTTGGAGCAGTCCTCTCTAGCTAGTTCAGCCAGCCTGTGACTAACATGAGGGAGGAAATTTGACAACAAAGGAGAGCTATACAAGGGGTGTCCAAAAAAGCTCTGTGCACTAGAAAGCACTTCTCAGAGAACGTATTAACTCAACAACTGTGAATCAGAACTCGTTCCATGCATTTTGGATAAAGTACACACTGGAGAGTGCTTTCAGATGTTGCCAGGAACAGGGAGTCCTGGGACAAAATGTAGACTTGATGATTAGGTAAGAAATCTTCACTGACTTCAGATTCTGACCAGGTGTAAGTCAAGTAACTCAGAAATCACAACAAATTAAGTCTTTCATTGAAAGAAAGAATCAGACTTGAACTTTCACAGGGTGAAAATGCAAAAAGAATTAAGATGTGAACTGGTCTATTTATGCCAAGAATGAACTCCTTTTCTGATGACGTATATTGTAGTATACGGTTATAAACGCTTTTCTAATACCAAAACAACATAGCTCACAGTTCCACCAAAAATAAATACAAGAAAAAAAATCCAAAGCACTAGAACTAAAGCTGGGGGAGGGCACTTTAACAATTTTTAAAAAGTGTTAAAATTTAACTATTTTTTAAAATTCATTACAAGACACAAAGGAATACAAAAGTTACACTCAGATATGAAAGATTATTTGAGGCATACAAGGAGGTTTCAAACTGGAAACAGTACAGAACAAGCTTCTGTATGACAGGCTTGTATACAATAATCAGTGCTGCATAGATTAAGAAGCATTAAGCCTGCACTGCAGACATATAGCACAGGTGATAAGCCAGCAGCAAACTTAGCATGAACTCTAGTAGGTTTGCATAAGAAAGAAGAAAAAAAGGAGAAAAAAAAAAAAAAGAAGAAAAAAAAATAGTTTCCAGTGAAGCAGGACTCTGAACCAGCATCAGTGGCATTATGTTTTCAAGTCTTAGAGAAGCTCTGTATTTTATAAATTCCAAAATATTTGAACTGACATTACTTGGCATCTCTAAGTGTGTTGGGAAATTTTACAGATATTCCTAGGCACGAATACAAGAGTCTAAAATCATTATTTCACTTTAAAAGAAGCCTGGACAACTCACTAATTTGCTATATTATGGTGTGACCTACATGCTACCATTTGGGCTTTCAGAATATACTTCTAAGCAGTTGTTGACGCCTTCTTCCCTTGGTTGAAGTGTTACACATTTCCAAGATTACTGTTTTGCAAAATATTGTTCATAAAACAAAGAGCTCCCCTTCCTAACCATCTTTTTTCCAAGCACAGAAAAATTTTCAGCATAACAATTCTAGAATCATTTGACACTTACTCTTTGACATCACGAAGCTGATCAACATCCTGAGGTTTTGTGAAATCTGGATCATGTGCCAGTAAGTGAATCATATATGGTACCACATATTCAGGCAGCAAGGACAGCAATTTTTCTACAGTAACAAAAAATCATAAATAACCTCTATATTACACACACATCTGAAGAAACACTTTTTTCAAAGTACTACTTTTTCAAATATGGAAGTAAATTTTGACTTGCATTTATTCCTACAAATTTTACGCCTAATGATTCATTAAATGAACAAGGAGTTTTACTACTACAAAACTCCTTAGTCTTACTTCAGTAAGAAGGTCATAAAGCCTAAAATATCAGAAAACAAATTTTTTTTTTTTTTGAGCAAAACAACTACCATAGTAACAGCATTGTATTTTACATGTATAATTCTCAGCAGTGTACAGAGAAGTATTTTATGGTTCATGCTAATGCTCAACTAAGTAAAATTAGATTTGAATGCATCTAATATAAAGATGAGGAAACAAATTAAACTTATCCAGTGTTTCTTTACGAAAGCAATTTGCTTAAGTTTTAATGATTACTCCTTCCAGTTTACTATTTGACTGTTGTATTCTTAGCAATTTTACTGAAATACTAACCATTAGCCATGGGATTCTGCTTAATGTATTCTCTTCGTATACTGATGTTTTTGAGCAAGCACTGTCTGGCATGTGCTCTTCTCTCTTTCACAGGATCTTTGGCACACAAAGCAAAGATTGCCATATATTCCAAAGGGAGCAGTAATTTCACAAGTGCCTTATGCAGTTTCTGGGCAAATATCTGCCTCACTTGGTAGCACTCATCCTATAGCAACATAAAACATAAGAGCGCAACTGTAAAAATCTTGGTCTTAAAAAAAAAGCATTCAAGGTGCAATTATGAGAAGATTTTTTAAAATATCAACAGATACAGCACAATAAATATTTGAAATTTCAAGAACTCTTCTGAAAGCTTCAGTGAGGAAGAGAAAATACTCAACGTAGCAGCAACAAAAGCTCAGACATAAGGACTCTGAACTCAATTAATTAAGTGTCACTTCAGTTCAAATGCAGTTACTTACATTAATGACAAGTGCACAGAGCTGGAACTGTTCTGGGGTAATTATTTCGTGGTAACAGGGTTCCTGTGCAAGCTTCATTATTGCACTACCAGCAGCTAATCGCAGTCGAGACATATCCGATTTACTATACAAACATGAGGAGAAAAAAAAAAAAAACAAACCACGAAACACAACTCACCACAACTATCCTTAAACTACTTCCATGTCAAGATTTCTTCTTTTTACAAGATCAATGAGCAATTAAGGTTCTTCTCTGTCAGATCGGATCACAGTTCTACAGCTTCAGATCAAGCTAAATTAACCTGATTGAATTTGTGAAAATACGGTGCTCTGCTTTCCCCACAAAAAAACTTAATTTCAGTACAATAGTGAAACGAGAAGAGTCAAGTTTCTTGTTTTCATATCACTATCTAAATGAAAACAACACTTTTGCCGCAGATTTTCTCTTTCCTTCCTTCACCCTCAGAATGAAGCGCAAAGTTGCCTCACTGTTGAAATGAAGAAGCTCCACCTAAGATCATCCAACTCTTAAGTGTGTTAAATCTCATCACCCAATTGTTTTCAAAGATACTCCTGCAGGTCTTTTACTCTCTAGAATGGCTTTTACTATCAAGATATCTACAGGGTTCTGAGTTAGATTATTAGTAAATCACAAGAAAGAGGGAGTATTCAAAGCATATTTTTACATTGCCATTCCACTCCTAAATATTAAAACTCTGATTAGATCTGTTTTCTATCATCCCATTAGCCAACATGACGCTCACCTTAAAATTCTAAAAAAACTCCAAAAGAATTAATATTCTTTGAAATTCTACAATAAAACTGATGGAAGCCTGAAAAGAACAAAATCTGACCTGATTCGCTTCTGTTCTGTCAAGTCTCCTTCACTGACGAGCATAGCTGATAATAACCGTAGTGTGGAATTCGCGGATTTCGACTGGTTGTTTTTCATACCCAACAGCCAGCGTACCAAAAGTTTAATTGCTTGCACCTATCAAACACGAGCAAATCGACTATGAACTTACTTCCTGAAGTTGATAAGGCACTAAAACCTACTGCTGTCAAATTGAAATTTCCATAGACTCCTATTTATTAGAGTGGATACATTTTTAAAGGAACAGAATGAAGCAGTAAATATTTACAGAGTGAAGAAGGAAGTAGCAGTCTTTGTGACATCAGGACATTTCAACTATGGTTCAGTGTCTTCTCACAAGTGCATCTAGAGGATGTAGGACACTTGCTACATGATTAAAAATAAGAGCAACTAGATAAACATTTCTAGAAATGGTCATAATTAGATTCACAGTAAATAGCCTATAAAGATGAATGAATAAAATTCACCAAGGTCTCAATTTATTTCAACTCTGTTTATAGTCAGTAAAGTCAAATTACCTTGTACAGAAAACTAAAACTTCTGAATCTTTTAATTTTCTCAACATTCAGCATAATTGATACTGGTAAGTGAAGACACCAAAATGCATAGTTTCTACCAGTTCTATAACTATGTGTATAATCCACAAAAACTCTAGAACACTGCATATTCCAAGGAGACTAAACCAAAAGTACTCATAGAGATTTTTTTTCTAATACTCTCCATTGCACAGCTTGGAAAAAAGTAAGTTTTTAATCTCAAATATACACATTATTACTGATAGCAGATCATTCACCTTTGCTAGTACTTCTGGAGAAACTTCTTCATCCGGAGACCACAATTTTCCATTTTTCTCACCTGTTGACTACAGACATTCATGTAAATTTACGAACAGGTTCAACCCATACAGAAAATGCAGAAGTAAAAACGGAAGAGAGTCATGGACTAAGCTTTCCTTTACACAAAGATCTTTTACAATGCAATTAGCACTGTACTAGCTATTTATAGACCGTTCCTTTATTGACTCACTTAACAAAAAAGCCTTATTCCCCAGAGTTAATAACAGGCAAACAGAATAGTAAGGACTTACCAAAAAAAGAAAATCTTACCCTGTCATTCATTAAGAGATCTTTCACAATAAAATTTGCGACAACAGATTTCATTGGAGAAGCGAACTGGTCTGGAGCCAACATAGAAATATGACCCAATGAAACTAAGGGAGTTATAAGTTGTTCTGGTACATCAGCATTCAAACTTCTACTAAGAGGCTGAGGAAGAAAAAAAATAATTATTCAAAATTCAACTACAAACAAGACAGACATCACACCTAAAATTCATTTATTTTACTGCTGCATTGCTGATGAGTTTCACAGTTTTTCTGTAAGAATTAATAAAGTTAGCAAATCAAAATGGATAAAGAATGTGATTTCCTAATTAACAGCGTAACCAAAAAATATCACATGAGCTAAGGGAAAAACAAACTTTATATTCTCTTCCTGTTCTAATGGTGAAACACATTCAAACCTAGGAGACGTGAGAAAAACTGACCCAGTTCTGCTCAGGAGTTATGAAAACCTGAATCGTAACTGCAAATATCAGAAAATAATAGCATGTAAAAAAGCCTTGGAAACCACCAGGGACATTTATATCAGCGATCAGTATTTCCCTTCCAGATTAACAGTCGCCAGGATATTTCACACTGCTGTAACACCCAGCACCCTCACATCATATGCTGGTATCAAGGAGGGAACATGCACTCTCGCAGAAGCCTAAACAGAGCTCAAACTCTTTAAGCTTAATTCAAAGCTTTTCACACTTCTGAATTATGCATAGGTTCAAAGACAGCCAAGATTAAGAACCTAAGATATTTTACAAGTGCAGATTAATAATGTTATTATTTAAGAGATTACAGTGAAAAGTAATAACCCCTCTGCTCTGTATAAGGTGACTTTTTGCTTTACAGCCTGTCTAAGCAAGCAGTAAGTGAGCAGCAAGTTAATATCTGAGCTTATAGTCAAGTAGTTATTCTGCTCAGAAGTCCTCAGTGAGAAAGCGCTGTATGTGCAAAGACCTTAAAGCATGGTAATTTAATACAGTTTGAAAGTAGAGGATGTTATCCCTCATTTAGTATCTGTGAAATGTGTCCTCATGGAATTTAGTGTGGATCCTTCCAGTGTATTTAGCTTATTCTCCCATGTAGACAAAAATGAATACCTTATCTATCAGGCATCAGAATATTACAAAATCGTGACCGTAAGATACAAGCATTAGTAATTTGCTATTGTCAAATTAATGACTTATCTCAACTACCATGCACCTGTAGGCTTTCTGACCTCATAAGTTGATTTCTGTTAATAAACAGTACAAGTTAATTTTAATTACTAGTATCAATTAAGAACAACAGAAACAAATCTTAAAAACAGAAAAGCAAGACATACCTCAAAGATCTGTGCAAGCTGCACTTCTTTATTTGAAAATATGGCATGTATACAGTGAACAGCTTGTTTTGCCTGATGAGGAGTGCCTCTTTTTGCTTTCTGATGCAAAATCGGAATTAGTGTTCTGTGAACATTAAACAAAATACTTCAAAATGCAATTTGCAATCTACAAAAAATAAAGCTCTTCACCTATACAAATCTATCCTCACAGTCTTGTAAATCAAGTATTCCTTTGAAGTCTGTTCAGGAAAGATCACAATCATAAAGTGAAAAGCAGGATGGGATTGTATTTAGTAATACTTGTTGAACATCTGACTGCACACAGTTAAGCAGAAAAAAGCCCACAGGGATATATCAAACATGAAAGAAAATACTGGTCAAAATAAGGCTGTTTAGGAAGCCAAATATAAGGTGGGGGGAACGTGACAGGTTCAGCTAGGCTAAACTCCTGGGCTTCTTATCCAAGCTTGGAAGCAATAGGGCTGAAGAGAATTTATGAAAGCCGGGAATAACCATTAAACACCAGTGTGTTTATAGGCCTTTACTGCTTTAACTTTGGCCTTTAATTGAAATGTGTACTCAAGTGAACAACTGCTTTGTTCTGAGCTTTTGCATTTGAATCCCCTGAAATCTATCTGCTGATCAGAGGCCACTGAAGGAAAGAGCAGGGCAGAAGCCACTCCAGAGACCAGGTCAAGGTTGGTCAGACTGTTTGGTTCTGCTCCTGAGGGCCTATCCCCTGAGAGATCAACCAACTCATGAGGTTTACCATGCAACTCGCCCAGCAACTGACACGAGAAGGCAAAATTGCCTAGGAAACGTCTGACATAGAAACATCTAGAAAAAAAAAATTCCTTGCTTTCCTGAAAGGTTCAGTAGCAACAGAGCATTCAGTACATGGATTATTTAGCACCCAGCCTTCACTGACACTTTCTACATAATCAAAATCAGCAACAAGAGGTGGAAGAAGAGCTTGCAGGGTTCAAAGAACGAAGTTTCAAACGTGTTTCTCAAAAACCACTCAAACCCCAAAAACCAAACAAAAGACCCCTAAGGCAGGACAATGGCTCTTCTCAAACCTGCTAAGATTCCACAAGTTGGATTAAATCAGAACCAAACCAGCAAAGAATTCAGTAAAACCTACAGTTAAAATAAGCTTCGATGCCTAACCTACAATTTTCACAGTCTAAGTACCCGCGTACTAAAGGGCCTTTGCGGAGCATCAGTTACGAACCGCACCTCATCCCACCCCAACTGACATAAATCTGCAAAAAGTGAAACCTGATATGATTACATGCACCTTTACATATTTACATCTACAAATTTACCCCTGGTCCACAGGCTCTCTTTGAGCATGGCCAATGCTTCCATCAGACTCCAGAGTCACACAGCAGTCCTTGCCCATGAACTAGTGCACAAACCTACTCATTTTCCGCACGAGGAAGAACTTGGGCTACTGCTGGTCAACATGACTTCAATGGACAGCGAGCAGCCTGCTCACACAAGCGGTTTTAAAAAAAGCAGGTCACTTGAAACAAACTATCTTGCCGATTATATCAAATCTTTTGTTTATGATAAAGATTTCTGAATATATCAAATCTGGAACATCTACTTGGCCTCAGACTTCTTTTTCTTTGTGTCAGTGTAAACACTGACCTGGTTTTAGCTTTCAGAACTTGCTTGCAAACCATGCCATGAGCTAGACCTCCATTTTGACGGCTATATTTTTAAGTTATTTAGGAGTGCCCAGACTATATTTCAGCAAAACCTAGCTAAGGAATAAAGCCAAAAGAAACGTCAGCAATAACATGTCCTTTGACAGAAGACGATACAGCCCAGCAATGCACAGTCTTGACTAAACTCTAGTAGGGAACTGTAGACAATTGGGACTATACTGGGAACTATACTGACAATGGGGATTGCTGGGCTTTTCCTTCTCTTCACCTCTATGAATGCCTTAAAACTCATCTCATATGTGAGCTTGTAACATTCTTGTTTTGCTCAAAATCTGATTCAAATCCTTAAGAATTACTGAGGTCACATCTTCAACTCACAAAGAACTTAAGGTGTACACTGGTATGCATTTTAGTATCGTAATATCCGAGATGCTATTTCAATAAATGAGAACTTAAAGCCTGTGCTTTATAATCTGTATTAGTTAGTTACTAACAGGCCAATTGTAAGGTTTCAGACGGTACCCACAATGTTTTAAATAGCCTGTGAATACTTAGTAGATTATACAGCTCTAATCAGCAGTTGAAGCACGAATTGCATAATGACGATTACAGACAGATAATTATTCTTTGTTAGGAATTCATGCCTGCTTTTGGATCTTGTTTCTCAACTTGTTTCATAACAAACAGAGCTGTTAACCACCAGAGATTATATTTTCATCCTTACAAAGACAGAAAAATTGTGTGAAGGACAGATATGCGTAGAAATTATGCCAAGGAATTACATCTTCACCATTTTTGCATTTTTACATTTTTGCTTTTGCTTGCTTTGTAACCCGGGAAACACACTACACACTGGTTTTAATGTGTCTGTTATAAGAATATTTTTAAGATGTACCTAACATCTTCAATAAATACACAAAAATTGCAAGAATGCAGAATTTAAAAACGAAGAGACAGAAAGGTAGTGAAAAAATATAAAATGATGGAAGAGAAGCTGTTCATATCTATAAGACTATAAAGTAATTTTAGGGGCAACATATTGAATAAACTATCAAGAGGCAGAATTCCAGGTATGAAAAGCAGCAAGTAAAGAAATACACTCACGATCTTATCTGTGGCAGGTCTGTTTCTATTTTGTGACCCGTGTTTCTGAAAATCTGTATGGCTGCCTCAGCTACCTTATCATCTTCCATCCTGAGGCACTGCAGCAGAGACTCATAGGTCTCTGCAGAGTGGAACGAGGTAGGATGTGTAAAGGACAGAACCTGTAGATACACATTAAAACAAAGGTGTATTTATTCATGGTAAATGAATCATCAGAAAAACAAAATTATGGCTGTTTATGAGCATTACCATCAACATAAATAGCTATTACATGCTCATATGAGATTATTACATTCAATAACTGCATTTTGGAGAAGATGATATAAGCATTTTCAAATAAATTCAACTATTTCTTCAGGTCTTCCCCTCCTCGTAATATTTTATATTACATTACTTGAATATGTAAACATATTTATTAAAATGAACACTTTTATTCAAGAGTATTCATTTATATTCCAATAAGAATACTTAAGAACACTTTTTTTAATTTAACTGAACTGAAATCTTAATTCCTCTAGAATCTCTAGTCCCTGAGCAGAAAAGAAATCAAGAAGGTTAAGATATCTACAAACAAAACATAGATTACTGTCCTTTTAGTCTAAAGGTAATAAAATACAACATAATCTGTTAAATAGGAAAAACGTCAAATAAGAAATTAAGCATGCAGGGATTCAAGGCAGGACAAGAGAGTACAAAAGGTTATCCTGAAGCAAAACTATATTAAGTATAGTAAAGTTCAGATAACAAAGTAGGGAGAACAATGAAAAGTTGCATGTATTTTGTGTATTCTTTGGATTTATCTTATCCTGGTTTCTTTGATCAGAGTTGCCTACTTGTGTTGAGTATCAATGCGTGAAATAACATTCTCGAAGATATCCACATCACAGCAACAAAATCTTCAACCTTGGCAGATTTCTTTTCTGAGCTACATTAGCAAACAGACATTACTCGCTTGCATACTTCTGTGTAACTATTTCTACCACAGTTGCCATTACCAAATTTGGTGTGGTATGTCTCCAGAAACTCCAACTCGTTCATTCACACTTCTGAAAAGCCTCACTTTCGTTTTGTAACCTTCCCCTCCATTCCCTCCTATATTTTATACTGCCCTTTGTAACATGTTGAAAATAAATTCTCATTAGTGAACTGCCAAATCCATCACAGATGTTTTCCAGATATTTCAAATCCTTCTTTCTCCCTCAGCCATTTCTCACCACCACTGAGAACACAAGTTCCCCCCTCCCCTTCTTCTCTTCTACATAACTTGGCTCTTGAGTTTATTGCTTGCTTTCCTTCCAGTATAGTGCAGGCCCCAAAGAACATACCTCTTCTAACTTCCCCGTTTCTCTTCCTTTCACTTTACCTCTGCACCTTCTTCTATATGTGTTCCCTAAGCAGAAACCTTTAATGTGCATATTTCGACTCCTGGCACCCTTTTCAAAACATACTTCTATCAAAACCCCATCTCTTTCATTATTCTTTTCCCAGAATACATTAAAAAAGTAATTATCTAAATAATAACTACTAAAACCATGGTAACATTAATTTGTTAGCCGTATCACTTTTGACCCTGCCATTACAGACTATAGCTGCATTAATGTAGATTACCTTGAGAAGTTCAAGTCCTGCACGAATAGCAGTATCAGGACTTACACCCTCCTCTTCATCATCAGCTGTCCCCTCTATGGATTTATTCATTAGTTTTACTAGTGCACTGAAATAAGAGATATAAAAAGAAAAAAGCTAATGAACATGACAATGTACAATGTCAAAGGCTGGAGATATCAGCAAGATTACTTGGTTTTGACAATGAAGAAAGGGAAGGTAACAGTCCATTAGGTAGGCGATGTTGTGGCGTTTGGTTTTAAGTTAGTTTTGTTTTGGTTTTTAATCAAGCTATTCCATTATTCCTTTTTCTTTTGACTTAGCTTTCTGTAAAATTAATTCTTTAGGAAAAAAAAATAAAATCTGAAAACCCCCCACCATGTTGGCCGCTTTCAGATCAACACATAGTTGCATGAGTTTCCGAATGTAATTAGGTTGCCAGACAAGTCTCAAAAGAAATACAAACATTCTCTTACACAATTCCATAAAAGCTAATTAATTCAACGCTATATGGAAGGCACTGCTGCAGTTAACTGTCCAAACATTCTCTTACACAATCCCATAAAAGCTAATTAATTCAACTGCTATATGGAAGGCACTGCTGCAGTTAACTGTGAAAATAACCATCATCATTTTCACCTTAAGCCCCACACATAGCAGTTTCACCAGGAACAACTACTGTATTTTTAAAATCATTTGCAGAGAGCACTGCAAAGAAGTAGCAAAAAAACCCATCACATTCTCTAGGCTGCTGGAAATGAAGACATCTACATAAAATGTTGTTTTGTTTTTTGTTTTTAAAAAAGTGTATTTACAGCTAGGACAGATTAATCTAAATCCCAAGAAAAATCCCTTTTAATTTTTTTTGCCTGTCATTTAAATCATCTTTCTAATCATTCATAAGTTAGTATGATCTTTCAAACTTACCTAATGGCTTCTGAGTCAATATGTACAGGGGCAATTCTTTCCAAAAGAAATTTGACCATTTCCAGAAAAGGATTTGTTGGCTGCTTAGGATTTGCAAGTTTCCGGGCTATCTCTCTCTACAAGAATGTTAGATACAAACAAGAATTATACTCCTTTTACTTACTACCTTAAGCATGTTGAATAAGCTGAATAGAGCCACTTCTTTTAACCACAGATACCTCTATAATCAGTGAAATGTATTATAAGAGGGGCTGTTATTATCTCCAAATCTTTATCACATTATATTGAAAGCAGACGTACTTTACCGAACTCTTTAAATGTAAAATGCATTTAGGTTTCTAGTGAGAGTTCTTCAGAGTTTCGTAAGGAATTGCAGGCCAGATCCAAAACAGAATCAAGGGAGAGGTAAGTGCAATGTAGACAGAATTTAAATATCTATGTTGACAAGAGTAATCCATAAATCTGTAGGTAACCCTGTTGTATGCATGAGATTTCCTAAGCAACAACAAATAAATTCCACCAAAAGCTACATTACTGCAGATGTGCAGAAGCGCTACTCTACCTTGTCTAAAACAGATGCTCAGACCCTATGTACTATGCCTATGAATGTTTTGGATCCAAAAATCTGTTTTTCCCCTCTGAATGCTCCAAATGTCAAGCACGTTAAATTCAGCTGCAAACGCAGCACAAGATGGTTAAGAAGATATTTTCTGTTTTGAACAGAAGTCTAAAATGTTTCAAAGAAATGACTTCTTGACCTTCGTTCTCCTAAAGGGTTGGAGGCTGCAGACTCTACAAACTAGGAAATTGTTCTAACTGTTATGCTAAATGATCTTCAGGACGAGAGGAGAAATCTTTTTCTTGACATTGCATCACTGCATTCCCAAAGTGCAAAATTTACTAGTTTAGAAAGAGACATACTCTCTACATCAAGAGGTAAGGACATAATTCTGAAGGTCATTCTGTTCTCTTCCCTGACAATTTCGGAGCCATGAGACAAAACCCAAGAAGCTCATGTTTGGTTGTTGATGCCCTCTTGTGATTTCTGTCAATGAAATTGCTTACTCTATTTTGAGACAACAATGAAAAAACCGTCTGTGATTGTTGGCACAACTGGTAAATCTCTAGAAAAGTCTGATTTAATATTAAGATATGTATTTTCATCAAGAGGTTAAGGAGATAAGAGAAAGACTGTTCTCAAAATAACTTTCTAGAAAGAAAAATAAATTATTAATATGCAAATGGTATATTTGGCTTGCTGGTACTCAGAACAAGTTTCATCAGTGTCAGAAGACAGTTTAGGAACCTTAACATAAGACAGACACTTGAAATAAAATACTTCAAAAAATTTAACAATTAGTCTTTTAGACTTTATGCTTGATGCTCATAATCCCAGGAAGGAATAAAGCTTATGTTTTCTTAGGAAGCAAGATTATGATCACAAATTATATTTTCCATAATCTCTACAGGTTAAGCAAAAAGGTATTTTATGTAAATTAGAAATATATAAAAATCATGTTAAGGTACCAAAAGAGACCATCAACTCAAGTAACTGCTTTCAGCACAAATATTTAAGGTATAAAAGTTTCCTTACCACACAGACATCTGCCTGTTTACAAGAACACGTAGGGCTAATTAACAGTTCAAGCTGGGACCGAAGTTTTTCATCATCACCCAGAACCTGATTGAATTTCTTCACAAAATCTTGTGCTTTTCCAGGATCTGGAAGGTTTTCTGTGTAATTAAACACAATATAACATAAGATAAGTTTGCGACTTCAGTATGTCAGGTTTCACAGAAGTACAATTTCCAGGAATGTTGTAATAACAGTTTATAGAACTTATTAACACTTACTTGCTATGGTCATCAGCTTTCCAAACATGGCAGCACTGTTTGCTTCTGACTGAGGACAACAGCAAAAACAAACAAATCAGCTACATCTCCTTTATAAAATATACCTTTAAACTGATCTGTTAGTTCTTCTGCAGCACTTAATTCTACTCTGGAATCTTATGGTTTATGTTTTTGTTTTAAGAATAAACATTAGAATAGTATAACAGTATCGTTGGCAGCTACTACACAGAGAAAAAGGTGAAGAATCTCCTTGCAATATCAAAGAACTGGAAAAATTCATTAATTCATATAATAGATCAAAATCAATTGTTGGAAAAAGACATCAAAAAAATTCCAAATAAACAATTCCCCCAAGCCCACCTCCACACCAAAACCCCAAAGCAATGCTCTTCTATTTAAAGTTTCTGCTAGTTTGAAGATGTGCTTATAAGTAAAATTCCAGTATACTTAAAAACTTTTGTTAACAAACAAACAATTTATGTTACAGCATATTCCACTCTTGAAATATGTTATAAAATGAGAAACAAAAAAAGATCTGTCAAAAGCAAATAAAAAACTTGGAAAATATTTTTAACCTTTTTTGACAGTTATTGACCAGTAATATAAAATAATGGTAAACATAAGGAGGCCATGTACCTTTAAGCATTTCTGAAAGCAACTTTACTTAATAAGAATTGAACATTGTCTACATATGGAAATCAACAGAATAATAAAGTCACACTGAACAAATAGCACAGTATTAAAATACCCAAGTAAATTAGTCTAACAGGTCCATTGAATAAAGTATTAATATTTTTTAAACCGTACAGTGGGCTGCTTATGCAAGTCTAGTAATTCTCGTACGTGACTTCTTAGCATGTTCTGGCACTTCCACATCTCATTCAGTGCTCTGCAAATGCAAAACCAGAAAAGAAAAGCTTACCAATTCGTTCATAGCAAGAACATGCTGGATGTATTACTAAACAAGATTGTTTATTTATTTATCTTACAAGTACAGCATCTGCTAGGTACTATCAAAACCTACCAAGCATTAAAAATAATTGTTCCAAACAGGGTGGAACCGAACATCACCTCTCCGATTATTCTACTTGGAACAATTTCACATATGCAGGACAGCCACAGTATGTCTTACAACCACCCAAATTATCTTGAAAATATTTTTTCAAAATAAAAATCAGGTCACTACTAACCAGCATTCAGTTATAGATATCTTAACCATGGACCCTAATATAGAGCAAATCCAGAAGTCATCATTTCCACATTACTCTGCATTCTTCTCATTGGATGAAAACGACTGGATAAAACCACTCCTTTCAAACATCAAGGTAACTTTTTGTCTAATGGACATGTAAAATTTGTATATAAAAGGGAAATGTTTTGAAATAATACTTGCATATAACACTAAGCATCAATTGCTTATATTTTTATTTAAATCCTGATAATACAAGAAAGACAATTTAGATGCTGGAAAAGCCTGAGAAAGCAAGTATTTGCTGACTACAAGCTATACTCACTTCACAGCATTTGGATCCAAGCTAGCATACAAATAGTACAAGCACTTCATTCGCTCTTCTGTTTCCAAATTGTGTGGAACAAGATACTGAGCAAAGATTTTCTCTACCAGTAATCTGTGGGAAAAGAGATAAAAACCGTATATTTCCAAAAGTGGTGATGCCTTTCAGACAAGCAGAAAGAACAAGAAATATCAAAGTCATTGAAACTAGATTTTTCAATAGAGAAGAAAAAAAAGTAGTGGTCTTTTTCTCATCTTTAAAGATCCCTTCCACTGTTGATAGAAGGATTAGCAAGAACTACTGCTTAAGAGCTTTTCCATGTTCTTTCATTTTCATCTCTACGAGGGAGTTGTCACCATCCAAATTCTCCTTTTCCTTTAGGCTGAGAAGCTCCCTTTGCTCACTCTCATACATACGAGAAAGGGATATAGACAGAAAAAAGGAGAAAGAATACAAGAATATAACTCAAGGAGGAGGAAAAATAAAAATCCGATGTATCCTCAAGGGAAAGGTTAAAATAAAACTGTAGTACTTGAGAAAAAGTAAAACACTTGAAACTACTCATTGTTCTAATATAGAAGCTAAAAAAATTGGCATTAAAAAGGTGAAGACAAAGCAACATCAAAATATGTACAAGAAAAGGAGCAAAAGGGAAACAAAGTAAGAGCAAACCAAACCAGCAAAATCATTATCAAATTATCTATTTTTATAAAAATAACACATTTTTAAGGTTTTACATAAAATACGAACCTTGAAGTACAAAATAGGACTGCACAGTTCATCTAATTATAGCCCTCCAAATGAAAGAACATTCAGACATTAATTTAATCCATAGCAATGAAAGCAGTGCACAATGTCCAGCTATACAATTTGATATTTATGGACACATATTTTGTGTGTTTGAATCTATGAACTTTTCCACTATCATTCCTATTAAGTACTCTGGGAGTGCCTTGTATAAAGACTGTAGAAGGCAATGCAGGTCAAACATATCATATTTCTGCTCAAAGAAAATTCCAAGAGACATGGTGGCAAGGCAGAGGAATAAAAGGATGATCATGAATAGGGATACAACTCCGTTAATATTAAAGGAAACTTGTCTTTCTCCCTTTAAACATATGTTTTGCTGTTGATGACTCCAAGAACTAAATTACTTGAGGAACAAGATCTTCAGATCTCAGGGGACTCCGCATCTGTTTAACATACTAGGAGACTGGAGGCATCAGAGTTATCTTACTAATTTACAAACATTGCTCTAGCCATGTCTTTACAGATACAGGCTTTAGAAAAGCTGTCAACACAAATGGTGAGACTGTATCATGACTTCCCTGGTCCATGTTGGTTAGGGTCAAGATTTACAAACAGGGAATACCTCAGGGACACACTTTTCTCCGGTGAGGAAAGACAGTGGCTAGCATAACAAGAGCGGGTAACACGGCAGTGTTTAAGATGTGGTTATTTCACTCCATTCCTTATGCATTTGTTGTAAAACAAAGAAGCTCAGCACACACAGGTGATAAGCAGTTCTTACAGTCCAAAGTTTTCAGTCTTGAGTAGACATGCACATCAATAGTCAAGTAACATCAAAAACATCATCAAGTGACTGAGTTAAGGATGTGTGGAGAAAATTTGTTCTATTCCACTTCATGCCCAAACACTGTGCGACGCTGCACTGTTATCTTTTGAAAGAACTAGCGTTATCCCATGCACACAGTAGAAAATACTCCAAGGCTCAGACAGATGTCACTGTTACTTTCTATCCCCCTCCCTCATTATGGAAGGAAAACAGGCCAGAGTTGGCTAATTTTGATCTATGCTTGTGTGTTTAAAAGATTGGATGGACTCTGTCTTAAAAGATCACAGCATTTCTACAGCTTTTCAGGTGTTAAAAGTACTAACTTTCTAATTCTGAGAACAGTAACACTGAAATGCATTTATTCCTCCACTCTGAGACTGGGAAACCAACCCAATGGTGTGACTGAGCAAGAACTTCATTGTCAGCCTAAAAAACTAGTAGAATTTGTATTAAAATTCAGAGTACCAAACCAAACTAGAGAAACACTGAAAATCAAACCACCAATCTTTCAGCGCAGATACCCAGAAAACAAACAGCATACAATCCATGCCTACTCATGAAAAAAAAGTTTCAATGGCTTAATCAGACTTCCAGAAGAAATCATGTCGGAGAAAGAAATTCAGCTATGATGACACT